GAAATCCGATCTCCAAGCAAGCTTTCTTCCTTATCAGTACGGGTTCAAATTTGATCATTGTTAGATCACGCCATATATCCACTGTTTCGTAGTTTTTCCTCTTCTCTAAGGTTATGTAAATGCTGAACATAAATTATGGAAAAGACGAAGTGTCCTCTGTTCATTTTCCTTGTCATTTTTGCATATTTTGACAGCCAAGAGAAGGTCTGCTCGCAAACTTCTGTTTCAATCTGTATCCAAACGTTTGTATATCGCTTCATGTAGAATGCACTTATATGCCGCGAAAGGATTAATTACCGTGATTAAATAACTTAGTAAGTGATAAGATTAAAATAAATTTCAGTGTTCTGGCCGACGACCTATTAAATAAAACTGAGATCGTTATAGTACTAAATAAAATTGATAACATTGCACACCACATCTTTTCTCTCTCATTACCCCTTTCAGCTCTTCTACGTTGTTTGCGTCGCAGTTTCAACTGCCGTCCTGTCGGGCTTATTGATGTTAATTTCGTATTTTTCCTCTCACGCCGTAGTAAATCCTTTTGGGAAGGATTGGTTTGAACCTATGATATTATGGATTGTAATTGTAATGCCAACCGGTGCGGGAAAGTCGACGTTGTTTAAATTTTTGAGGGGAAGTTTGGACACCGTGAGAAAACGCGTTATCGCAAGTGGAAAAGATACATCGAACAACGATGCTCTTCCAGACTGGGCAGTAGAGGAGGCTTCAATGGAAAAAATGGGGGCTATGATGGCTGAAAATGGCAACAAATGAATTGGACTCTATGACGAGATCACGCATTTTCTCACACAAATAAACGTTTACAGAAGTCGCGGCCTCTCGGACACACACGACCCCTGAGAAGTGTGGAACTAAGTAAAGAATGACAAGGGGTTTGTGCCTGTGGGAAAAGTGTGACATTATCCTTACTTTGTCGGACTATTCCACACTTCCACACAGGGTTAATGACTGGGGTAAAGTGCTGCAATACCTTTAGTTTGTCACACTATTCCACACTTCCACACCTCTGAGAAGTGTAGAACTAAGTAAAGAATGACAAGGGGTTCATGACTGGGGAAAAGTGCGACAATATCCTTACTTTGTCGGACTTTTCCACACTTCCACACCTCTTAGAAGTGTGGAACTAAGTAAAGAATGACAAAGGGTTCATGACTGGGGGAAAAGTGCGACAATATCCTTACTTTGTCAGACCTTTTTCACACTTCCACACCTCTGAGAAGTGTGGAACTAAGTAAAGAATGACAAAGGGTTCATGACTGGGGGAAAAGTGCGACAATATCCTTACTTTGTCGGACTTCTCCACACTTCCACACCTCTGGGAAGTGTAGAACTAAGTAAAGAATGACAAGGGGTTCATGACTGGGGGGAAAGTGCGACAATATCCTTACTTTGTCGGACTTTTCCACACTTCCAGACCTCTGAGAAGTGTAGAACTAAGTAAAGAATGACAAGGGGTTCATGACTGGGGGAAAAGTGCGACAATATCCTTACTTTGTCAGACTTCTCCACACTTCCAGACCTCTGAGAAGTGTGGAACTAAGTAAAGAATGACAAGGGGTTCATGACTGGGGGGAAAGTGCGACAATATCCTTACTTTGTCGGACTTTTCCACACTTCCACACCTCTGAGAAGTGTAAAACTAAGTAAAGAATGACAAAGGGTTCATGACTGGGGGAAAAGTGCGACAATATCCTTACTTTGTCGGACTTCTCCACACTTCCAGACCTCTGAGAAGTGTGGAACTAAGGATGAAAAAGGAAAGTAGGGATCTTGTGGCCAGCACTGGACATTTGTGGTTGAATTCACATGAGTGGATTACATCAATTTAAGTGAGATAGTTCAGTTTTTGAAAGCTTCTATAATTCTGATTAGTGTACTCTTAAAGTTATCAACTCCCTTTGTGGTCAGTCATGTTTTGAGTGCTTAGTGTCCCCTGAATGGGGGTCAAACCCAGGTTTTGGGACCCAGAAATTGTGTCCCTTTCCCCTAAAAAGAGGTGTCCCTTCAATAGCGGTAACACATTCGAAGTTTAATTTATGTGGAAGTTTTTCCGGGACCAAATTTTGTGTCCCCTGAATGGAGGTGTCCCTTGAACAGATTACAAATGGAAGTTAATCAAATACCCCTTCATATTAGAGTGCAGCCATTTACTATCATACCCATTTCTTTTTGACAATAATAAGGAACGTCAAATGGGATGAAAACGAGACTTGTGCAACCCATTCTTAACAATTTAAGCAACCCAATTCTCAATTTTGTATTTTAAAGCACTAATTTTTGTCAAGGTACTTCCCTCGTTTTACACTGTGCACCCTCAAATATGCATAATACTGCGACATCCAAGATGGCGGCTGTTCTTCCCACTAGCGCGAAAAGAACAAACAAGGGACGCTTTTGCAGAGCCAATGCTTTTATTCGCAATAATAATGCCGCCGATCGACTGACAGCTTCCTGGTTTGCTTTCAAAAAGCAAGAAAATGAAAGAAATGTCCGTGATCCCAAAGTCTGCACTGGTTTTTCACTTCGCGGCCGTCGAATTGTGGAATTGTTAAAATGTCCTGGCTGAGGCTTTGGATTATGGGGGCTGTGAAGCCTGTGGAACAGCTTTACGGCTCCCAACTGCATTAAGAGCCTGTATCTGGCCTGGGATCGCTACTGTACATATGTTGTTCAAACTCCGAGAATGGAGAGACGAATATTTGTGGAACAAATAAGACCCACCGTAGCACCAGAACCACACGAGGGAGACCAATCTTTGATGTAAACACGAAGTTTGCTGCTGAATTCACATTTTGCTGTGTATAGAAAGCAAACAAGCGAACATATGAAGAATAGGAATCAATAGTCTTTTCTTCAAGTTTCTTTGTCAAGCATTATTGCGCTCACTGGAATTAAAGAGAACAGTGGCGCTACAAAATAGTCCAAAATAAACATTCATAACTCCAAAATCTCAGCAAATCTTGACTTACCTCATTCCTTGGTATTTATCGTACTCTTTTCAAGTTTGAATTTCTGTGTTGGCAATATCAAACACATAAAAACAACCGAAAACAAGCTTGATCTGGAGTGTATGCTTCGAAAACGATGGGCGCTATTTTGTATCTCGCCCCAGTCTCCGCCGCGCAATGTATCCATCCTGACCGCGATCTCTAAACCATGTCCATCTTTCACAGCAGTTTGTGAGGAAACAAGCACGGTGATACCTTTTTTTTTTTTTTTTTTTTTTTTAGCTATTTGCTAAGAACAGTCTAATAAAGAACATATTTCAAGAAGAAAAAAGTTTGATTGTGCAACATGATTTTTTTTTTTTTTGGAAAATAGTTCTGTTTTTGGTGTATTTGAGCTAATGCGAGGACTTCAAGCTTCCCCACAACCAGGCAATCAAATACGATCTAAATGAAGCAATAATGCTTATTTAAATAACAGAAGCTTTATGTCCAAGATAAAATTTTGTGTGTTTCAAGTAGCAAAGACTCAATTTGTAAGAAGGTGATTCCAATTTTTAACGCTAAACCTGTAAAAATACCCCAGCTTAAGAGCCTGCTGACGCGTAAGCAAGCACGGTGACCCCATTTTTTTATTGCATTTTTTTTTATGTTCATACATGAATGTTGACTATGCAAAGTTTCAAAAAAAATTTGATCGTAGAAAAATTTCAAGGGAATTACCTTAATTATTATTGTGTGAGTTTAAATCATAACTGGCTTGACTTGACTTGACTTGCAACACCAGACCCCATCCCTTTCTTTTTAAAGTGAGTGGACTGACTTCAACTTCAACCAAAAAGATTGAATATACTTTAGCTTCTAATATTAGAGAAAATTTTACAACCTGCCTTCCCCAGTTACACAATCCCTCCCTCCCATTCCTAACGTTTAATAGGCCACCCTCCCTCCCTCAAGCGTAGCGAAGTTTTGCGATACACGTATTTTTATTTTTAAAATTCTACTGGTTGCTTTACTTTGTGGAGCCTGAATCGTTTGATTTGTCAACTGAAGGATGTTTCTGTGGGGTGAACTTAAAGTACACTCGGGGAATACTGTTGCTACCTTGTTTGTCTTGTTTTGGTAGTGTAAGGGGCAACAAGTCGACCCCTTCTACTGTTAGCAACTGACAGTACTGCTTTCATTATTTAACAATTAATGAATGAGGCTGAGTATTTTTTGAAGAATTATGGAGATCAAGGAGGGTGTTATCCGTCGAGGCCGTAGGCCGAGGCGGATAACACCCTCCGAGATCTCCATAATTCTTCATATGATACGAAAGCCGATTTCAATAATCGTCTTATTACTCATTCAAAATAATTCCTAGTTTGCTTCCATCGATTTTAAGTTCACCTTCGTTAGTGCTCGTTTAGGGTTGTTCAGCTCCGCAAATATTCTCCAAATAGCAGATGTCGCCCTTCGAGTTGTGTTTTTGCTGTTCTTGTCATGTTTTTAGCTATAATTTCGCCTAGTGTCCGTCATTTTTTGTTTTCACAACCAAACCAACTCAACCTCGTCCCCAGGTCTTCTCAGTTAACGGTGCATTAACCTGCAAGAACCCTGCATTTTTGACGTCATTTCCTCGCTAAACACAAAATTCTTCCAAAATTGGTCATCAGTAACTGGTTATGGTGAATTATGCGTGTCCTTTTAGCCAGTCAGAACCGGGGAAATATTTTAAATAAATAATAAAGACTTTTGATGCGGCTGGTATTTAGATTAATAGTTAGTCAATGAAGTTGTAAAGGTAGATCCGAGCTTAGGCTATGTTTTATGTACTCTTTTCTTGATTGGCATTGATCTACGGCTGATGTTGTTTTCTTAAATAGTTTTACTAGCACGGCTTATTTGAGTTCGCCGGGTATTTCTGGTAGGCATGCCGTTTGTTTATAAGTTCGAGTTTTTATTAAGTTTTTGTCGCCGATTTAACTTTTTCTTCAAATAAATATCCTGATGATTTTACTTCAACGAGACATCATTCATTCGCCAGAGGAGATTATCCAGCGATCTACTTATTTGATCAGTGATGTGGGAGCTGCTCAGAACGTGTTTCCTCATTGGTTAAAAAAAAAAACAGTTACATGTCATTGTTTTTCATTATTTCCCATTGTTTCACGGTTAGGGTATCGAATCAATTGGCTTTTAGGGTTAGGAGAGCTGCTCCATGACCCTTTTTGATAGGTGCCTTGTAAACTTAGTGATATTAGGTTCCCCTCATAAGGTGGACCATTTGTTACAAGGAAGAAAAGAAGGAAGGAGTCATGGATGAGAGGACAACAGACATGCCCTCTTTATAATGAATGGATGTCAAAATTATTCCGCCTGTGGACGGAGCCGATTATACGGAGCATCAACTCCCAAATAAGTCTTTGGAATGTTTTGACTTTCTGATTAAACTAAACTGCTAAGCGGAAGAAATTTTTAAGGTATTCCGCGGCCCTTATTGCACGGGAAATTGAAATGTTTTCAAAAGCCGCTGACAGCAGTGCGTCTTTAATGCGTTCACTTCCGTTAGCAGTACACATTGTCATTCTCCTCTAGAAGACAGGAGAAACATCACGTTACTGCCATGGAAGCAAAATTTCTGAATCTCAACAATTTTTCATGATACAGCCTGTCACGGCCATTTTCATTTTCGAACGACTGACGAAAAGCCGATGGGTTGCCGTTCTGTTCCTGATCATGAGTGCAACCATGCACCCAAAAGTCACAGATTTCATTTTTTTTTCCCCGAGACTCAGGAACTTTTAAAAGCAGGTTGTGAAGGTTTTATTATCAACATGTCGTTACCGTGGGTTTTACTTTTGTAAAGTAACCCTTCAGGTACGCATGTGCTTCTAGATACGTGTTTAGATCCTGTACGTGCTTTTAGATAGCTACATCCCTGTAACTATCATTTATTTATTGCCATTCAAGAATCATCAATATTAACAATCCTTTAAACAGATGATTGCCAATAACTTTAACCTAAATTTAGCCCATTTAATGAAATTCTTTATACGTCAACATTTTTTTCGATTTGCAATTACCTACACTTTGGGAAGTTAGATTCTATGAGTCACACAATAATAGACGACAGGGTGAAAAGATACCTCTCGTCACTGAGAAATACGAAGAAAAAAAATTCCAATAATAGTTCTGAACCTAAAACTGTCATTATTCAATAACTTTGTAGTTAGTTGGAATTAATTTTGTCAAGTACAAGCCTTTTTTTTTTCTCATTTACTTAGAGTATAGCAGTTTGTCAAAGACGTGCAGCACATGTCTGCCAATGCAATAAAAAGATCGAATTTCAGTCTGTTTTGACAGCAAGGAAGCTAACAAACGCATTTAGACCTAGACAACTGAAACTTTCTTAAAACAAAGGTAAAACCGTTGAAGAAGGCCGCGGCACTCGGCTGCGATTCACTCTAACAAAGATGCCAGGCTACGCAGTACTTTTCAGATACTGTATCTTCGTAATGGGGATCTTTGCAACATTTCCAAATTCTTCTACAGGTGACACTCTAACCTGTGTTCATGTAGTCTATATTTTTAATAGTCTAGGTCCTTTGGAAAATATTTTCAGAACATTCCTCAAGCTTTCATTTTTTTTTTGTACTTTTTTCTTACAGCTTTCAGCCAAGGATCCATTGGCAACTTTTTCTATGTCAACTTTATGATAAGTGAATTTTCGTACCTGAATATCACAAGAATTGGATGGAATCTTACTCAACACGAAAACGATTGTGGCTACGCCTGTCTAGAAATTCCTACATGTTTTTCCTATAATGTGGCTGCCTTTCCCGATGTCAACGGCAAACTTCTGTGTGAACTCCTGCCATCGGACAAGTTTAACAACTGGCACAAGTTCAACGCCAGCAAAGCGTTTCATCACTTTTATATTCCGGTAAGACAACTTATTTTTCACAACGTTTTCATGAAGGAAAATAACAACCTTCTAATTATTCTCCCTAGTTATGGGTTTCGGAAGTTAGCTTTTTGTAAATGGGACACTGCACGTATCTCCTAATTTGCTTGGAGAATCTCTGATTGTATTTTATAAATGCAAAGGAAAACTAGTTGGCTGGTTAGTTTGCGTTCAAGCCATGAAATAAAGAAGGAAAGACGGAAAAAGGAACACGAAGGTTATTTTTCATTAGTAATACACCTGCCGACTTATAATTAAAAGTATCCATGACATACGTGGTGAAATTAATCGTACCGGTTATATTTCTCTTCCAATGTCCTAATTAAGTTTGCGAGGCAGGCTGAAACTGGGCTCTCAACCAAAATATTTGCCAACAAAAAGCGTCAAATGGTCGTTGGCATTATACGAGGATACTTCTCGCACATATTAGGCTTCAAATGAAAATTACACAAACTTCGATATACCTTCATTGTGATAGCCTTCCACCATTAGCTTTATACACCTGTTTAAAATAGTATATCTCAATCTGACGAATAGACTGTTTCTCAATTTTTAATTCGCGATAATTGTCCAACTTGTTTTCCTGATCTTTGGATGGAAGTGTCATCAGCACACTGGGCCTTTCAGTTGCATGACCAAAAATTTAGTTCATAAAACAGCATTAACTTCTGTTCCTAAAGACAACTAAGCAGACCCATCTTACCCTTTTACAAAAAAAACTTCTTTGTTAAAATGTATTTTCAAAAACTGAATCATTGGATAATATAACTCTAGCGCTCTTATTGGCTTAGCCATCATGATATATGAGACATGATACCATGCTCTCCAAATATGGTAACTGTAAGAGTCTGCTCAGAATTAAAAACTAGCTGAAAATCATGTGTTTTTACAAATAAAGTCAGGAAGAATTCTCGATATTTTGTGGGCTTTTTTAATAAAACAATTATTCCACTCGCGCTTGTTGGAAATAAGATGATTATAGCCAAATCGGCCCTGCCCTCCTCGTTAGCTATCTACCATCTCATATCCAACACGCACTCGTGGAATAATTGTTATTTGGATATATTGTTTGCTGTAAGTCTTTTGAAATAATTAAAATAACGTCAACGGCAACGGAAACGACAGGAATGCCAAATTCGGTTATTATTGTTGGGGAATATAAGAAACAAACCCTAAAAAGGAAGGAGGAAGATTCAAATAAACTTGTATTTTATAACTTTGAGGCCACAATAAAAATAAGTGTTAAAGTTTTTTAATCTCTTCTAATAATGAAATAGAAATGCCTCATTTTATTTTACTTTACTTTATTAAGTTTTCTGAGACTAGGAAACTTTATCCCCAACCTATCTGTTGAGTTATTTTTGAGGTTGCTGGCTCATGAATTTTGTGTGTTTGTGTGCTCAAAGTATTTGGATATACAATGAAGCGGCTATCGAGTTGGCGGCGGCTGTTTTTATTAAACGATTACAACAGTATGCATGCCATAAGTTGCGTGACGAAAATAAACTTCTGGCCAAGGAAACGTTATTCATAGTTCGTACAATCTTGAAAAGGTCTTGAATCTTGCGTCCACCAGGATGATAAAAGTGAAGAAAGGTTGCCGTTACTAGAGGTTCGATTGTATTCGAGAGGGCGTAATTACCGGTTTTTATGTTCAAGAGTCATTACCCGTTTGGACGAACTTGGGAAAACATTTTTAGTTCGTTTGGTTATGCGTCTATAGTATAACGACCGGCAGAAGTTGAAGCATGCGTCTACACGAACTATTCTTTATTGGATCTTAAACGAAGCACTACGAAAGGTCGTTTTCTGAACGCATAATGCGTGTGGGTGTTAAAGTATTAGCAACAAATGAAGCACGTGTTAAAACAAGTAAAACCAAACCTATAGTGCCCATTCTTTTATATTTTGCCGCGCGCAAGATCTCGCATTGATCGTCTCTCGTAGTTCTGAACACTAACCAGACACTTAAGATAAAAGACGATTTATCCGTACGGGACGGATAATGTTTTCTAACCTGGTCGCAGGTTAATTTTGATCAAGGCTAAATTTAATTTTGCGAAGATCTTACTTTCAGTAATACTCTTTGAGTCGTTACGTCTGTGGAAGGTCAGAATCTGTTTTCTGTCTGCCCTGGGCTTCACGTGTATTTTTTCCATGCCAAGTTTTCCTAGCTTATGGAAGGTTATCTTCAGAATAGCTGTCTCATTTCATTTAACTAGTATGAACAAGGATTCAGGTCTGGGTCAAATTCCCACAACTTTCTTTATTGACTAAATACTGATTTGAAAGTGTTTGCCGTCTATTTTGTAACATCACCCTGCCCTGGTAATGCCATGTGCGTTCTTTATTCTGGATTTGATTTTTCCCGCAAATGTTCGCATAGACAGGGTCATCACGAATTAGCTTGTGGACTTCCTTTAGTGGACTGCGTATACTTTGAGAGTAATTTATCCTTGCAAAAAAATTGTCACTCATCTCTGCCGTATGATTCGCGAACGCAGGTTGGCTAGAGGATGGCTGCACCAGATATAAACGCTTGGGAAACCAACTCATATTTTATCATTCACCCTTAGATGTTATCTCGAGTGTGGTAACACGGTTTCTTTCGCCTGCGATTGGGAATAACAGCAACTGGGCGCTGTGTTGGCAGGCTTCCACTCATGGCTGGGCTGCCAGTACCTTTCACAACAAATGCGATGGGAAACGTCACATGATTACAATCATCAAAAAAGACCAGTACGTGTTCGGAGGATACACGAATATTCCTTGGAGTAAGTAAAACGTCCTTTTTGTCACTGAAAATGGGAATAAGGCACTTTGCTTGTATAGTGCGTTTGTAGTTTGTGGTCTATAGTCACTTTACTTCTAATCTAATGCTACAAAATAATTAATCCCAAAAACTTGCCTTTCCTTTTTGCTGCCTACAGAAGTTTCTACCTGATTCTTCCCCTCTTTAAGATGCCCTAAACCAGCAAAAATACACTGCTCCTTCTCCGCCTATTTGTGGCAATAACCGACAAATGCGCGATTGCGTTACATCACTTGAATGACGATAACCTTATGTCTTTGGCTAATCTCGACGTCGCATAAAACTCAGCGAGAAAAAGTTTAGTGAGTGACAAAGATGAATGTGATACACTCACTGACAATTTTTTTAAACAGGCTGAGAAAGACGGTCTTTCCTATAAATTTTTGTTACAGCTTCAAATAAGATTTATTAACGTTAATTGTTTGGACTAACTAGAGCACGAGTCTTTTTGGTTTTTTGCTATGTATTAATAAAAGTTAAAGTTAAGTTTACGAGACATTATTTTTAGTATTTCTGGCAGCTCATAGCTCTGAGATTCGAGGGAAACAAAGTTAACTGTTACCCGAGGGACCAGTCTTTAAGTGATTTGTTATATAGCGCACGAAGAAGAACATTTTTTCGTGTACGAATTTATGAAAATAAATCTTGCGAGCGGTCAACATTCGCGGGTAACAGTGCACTGTTACCCCCTGACTTCATAGATTTTACAATGTTGCCCGCTCAGAGTTTTTGGCGTGAAACAGTTTCATTGTTAGATGTCATGTGACCTCGAAGTAAACAATGAGAGCTCGCGCTGTTGGTAAAAAAATTCCAGCTATATAACAACAGTCATAATTCTCTGCTGAAATTTTATATTATTTTTTTTTTCCATTGAGCATCAGTCATCAAGACAAGGGTGTTATATGTTTAATTCAACAAGAAAGAAAAGTGGTGAGACAAACTGACTCATCACCACGTTTACTTTTGACTTTAGGGCTTTGTCCTAACAATTGGATCCATCTACAAGGTTCATGCTACAGAGTCCCGTCAAAGAGTTTGAACTGGACCGCTGCAAAATCTGACTGTGAAGCTCAGGGGGCTAAGCTCGCCATAGTGACATCACAAGCCGAACAACAAGCACTAGTCTCGAAAATCTCACAAAAGGTATGGATTGGTTTGTGGAGGGACCCCAATGTCCATTCACGTTGGTTGTGGGTTGATGGATCAATAGCGACATATACTCACTGGTCTCCTGGAGAACCCAACGACGTTGGAGGTGTTGAGGATTGCGCACATATGTTTCCTCGTGCAGGAAAATGGAATGATCGAGCATGTTACAGAAGTCTTAAATACCTTTGTGAAACCAATGGTAGGCAGCACCACGATTGTGTGCTTAATATTGTACTAATTATTATGGTATATCCAGTGTATGGCTGTAGCTGGGAAGCACCACAATGTAAAGCTTGATGAATTACTCTTACTACGAATGGTTGACGTGTATATAAATTTTAAAAGAGAAGCCTTTGACATTTCCCTGGATTTTATCCTTGCATTTAATTTCAATGAATGCTTCCCCCCCCCCCCCCCAAAAAAAAGGGGGAGGTGAACATTATCCCTAACATTAGGGTGATAGTTGTTTTAGTATTTCCGAATCAGTTTAAAAACGAGAGCAACTTTTCCAAATAAAAGATTTCACTTAAGTAAGATCTTTTTAAACCAAAATTTATCACTTTTTTGGTATTTGTCGGTACAGATGCCTTATTTTTCGCTTAAATATCGCCTTCAGGAACTGTCGGGAAACGGAACGCGTATTGACTCCTACCCTATACAGTGAGTTATTAGGAAGCTTAAGCAACAAGGTCGGCGACGGCTACGAAAACGTCACTTATAAAGTGAATTCGCGCTGCTTCAAACTTATCGCCCTTATTCCATCTCGTTGAATTCGTCAAATGTTGCCAGATTTTTCTGGAGTTGAATGCTAAAAGACTGCATCGAACTTCAGGAAAAGAAAGAGAAAGTCGTTGTCTTGTGTTCAAGTCCTCCACAAAACGAGAAATTAGGCACTTTCATGTTGTAGTCGTACAGTTACCTCAAACAAATGTACAAAAAGCGTTATGCACTTGCAAAGTTGTTGTTTTGTTAATCTAAACCTATTGCTTTTTTGCTGTTCTTGTTGCCGTCGCCGTCGTCGTTGCTTAAGCTTCCTAATAGCCAAGAGTATTTTAAGTTACCCAAAAATTGCTATTCACTCATTTGTTAAGGGGACTATGTCACGTTATTTGCTATGTTTTTGTTTTTGTTTGTTTTTGTTTTGTTTTGAATTGGAAAATTAGTACATGTAATCCCATTGTGTTATTTGAGACTAACTTTAGGCATTGCAACTGTTCCTTGTGGTCTGTTCAGTGCAATTTTTTTGCATTATGTTAAAAGGCCTAAAGACACATTGGAATAACAGGGGAAAAGAGAAATAATTTCTCAGTTTTATTCAAAATTACTCTACTAATATCCCTAAGTTTCTCAACTTTAAGTAAATGGCTTTGGCTTCCGATGGCAAGTATGGGAACAGATTCAAAGTTGAATAAAACGAGCCAACTTTTTTCAATTTTATTCCAGTGTTGTCAAAGGTTGACCATAAACAAATCAAAATTAGTTTTTCTTTCGGTAGAAATCATTTGAGTTATTTCTTTTACAATTCTGATAAGTGGGATAAATAGAGAATACTTCATGGAAAGTGCTGGCGTACGGTATTTACGCACGAGTTGTTGACGTATCAGAAATCGAACGAGTGAGCGCAGCGAACGAGTAAGATTTCTGAAACAAAAACAACGAGTGCGTAAATACCGTACAAAGCTCTTTGTAAACATAGCGGAAATAGCTATGTTATAACGCCTTTAACCTTTTGATTTTCGTGAGCAGAAACCGCTTAAATCAACGAAAAAAAAATACCACAACAACAAAGTGTTGCGGAATTCTTATTGCCCCGCTCGCTGGTTCAAACAAATCACATTGAAATAAGTATACATGTAAAGACGAGTTCTACGTTAACATCGATCTTGGCTCCCGGAGAATAGATATCTTTGCGTACGCGATCAGCTGATCGCTGATCTTTAAAGGGCAATACTATGTAAACAGATGGGTCTACTGAAGGCACGGTGTGTATTTCTTTATCTGGTTCCTGGCTGAACTTATTTGTAGTGGAATCGACCAATGTTTTGGGATAGCACAGCTTTGAAAACATGGTGCGTAACTTGTCACATTCTTTTGCAAAACCCTCTTTGGTTGAAGATAGACGGTACGCACGGTTAACCATCGTGTAAAACCCGTCTTTACAAGCAGAAAACTGTCACAAACCCTGAGTGTCAGGAAAACAAGCGCCCGATCGTCAACACTCAATGCGTTGTATACTTATTTCAATGTGATTTGTGCCATGCAAATTATGTCGGGTACGCTGCCCGACACTTACATCAACGCATAAGTGAACACCGTTTTTCAGCCATCGGGAAACACCTTGAAACACAGCATGGCAACAACAGAACAAAGACCGACCATCTTTTCAAAGTTCTGAGGAAATGTAACAGCAAGTTTGATTGCTTAGTCTACAAGATGTTATAAAGGACATCAAGCCTTCTCTTAACACGCAAGCCGACTCCATTCGCGCCAAACTATTTACGCGACACTTTCGTACATTTGTTTTTTTGTCTCTTATTGTGTTTCTTACCTTGGGAATTATACCCATTGGACCCGCAAATATTTTATGTATTGTTTAAAATTCTATATATTCGTTTTACACCTTATACTTTTTCACTTTTGAACTTGATAATGGCGTAACGTAGCGCTGAAACGTCGTTCACTTTTTAAAGTGTTTTTTAGAAGTATTTTAAAAATCGTTTAGCGTTTAACTTTTTGATCAAATTAGTACAAAATCGCACGTTCTTTCGCCCTATTTAGTCTAAGAAAATGCATGCAGTTACCTCTTTTTTTATCGTAAATATACTCGGACTTTGTCTACATTATTGTGAAATCTAATGTCACGAAATATAACTTCTTTGCGCTACAAATGTCAGTTTCTTATTAATATTAAATCACAAAATACTCAAGTTAAGCATCACCTATTTCTTCCCCGACATAATGCATTTTGCGTGGGTTATTGAAACCGTTTAATATAACTTAGTAGCCGTGGAGTTTTATCATTGGACAGTAATCCAGACCCCTTAACCAAGTGTTTTTTTTTTAAGGAAGATAAAGTTTGTCTGTCTTGATCATTTTATGAAATTGCTCTCGATGAAAGATGATCAGGATAGCAGCGATTGGAAAACTGAAAATGGTCTAGAACCGGTTTTTCTTGTGGCTAAACTGCGTTTAAATAACGGGTTGAAAAGCATAGATAAAGTTCTCAGTAATTAACACCCGCTAATAAGAACCTACATTTTTAGAGTTCTGGCATAAAATTTCCTTTTATTTTGGGGTAGTTATCGGCAATTTAAAGCTAGATTCTTAATTCCTATGAAGGCCTAGGGGATAAAGTTGTTGAATACCCGAGAAAAAAAAGAAACTTGAGTTTGGTCCTTAAATATGCAGTATTTATTCACAACTGTACATTATATATTTCAAACCTCCTTTATCTGTGCTTTTTACAACCCTTTTTCGTTGCAGGAATTACAGATGAAGAATTAATTTTACTTAGCAGGATCATCGATCCAAGTAAACTGTGTCAGTAAAACAACAGCAGTTTTTAATAGGAAAACTTGTAAGAGTTAACCACCTTTAAAGGGCTTCTTTTTCTCTATATATGTTTACTTTTTCAGAAAAACGTTGTAATAAAAATGGCACTTTCTACAATCACCAAAACGTTAGTTTCTAGTTCTTGAGACAATCCCTGCATTACTTTGATATAATTGTTTCATTCATCTGGACATTCCTGATGATCTCGCAGTTTCCTTACGCTGGGAATGCAACCATACCTATTAGTGGTCAGAGCCAATTCTAATTAGCTACAAATTCGCGCATGTCATGTCGCAGCGCGCCATAAGAAAGAGTGCCCTCGTTATTAATACGGTAAACGAGGCCGATCAAACGCTCTCCAAAATGCTTCAATTGGCCATCTCCACGTAAAAAGGGCTACGCCACACTATTTCACCATCGTTTTTCAATCATTTTTTTTCGGTATCCTCTCTGGTGACGGTATAGATCGGTTTCACTATCACGCAATAAACACGGCACATAAACTGAAACCGTCCAGTGGAAGAAGCCAAGAAAATGAATGTTATAAAAGACTAATTTATGAACAATTTGTCCAAGTCTCAGGTCTTTGTGACCCACAGTTTCTCGAGTTATTTGCCTTAACGTTTCACGCATCTTTGTAGACCTTTGTATGGAGACGCCATATTGGTTTAAAGTTTTGGTACATCAATATGGCCGGCGGAAATCAACAAACACATCAGGAGTTCACTTTTTCTATAAAAGCTCTTTCTTTTCACTCGAGAACTAGCACACGAGCGCAGAAGCATATCTTCTAAAACTTGAAATGGTTATACTCACTGCTGAAAATCAAAAGGAGAGACTTTTTTTTTTCAACGAGACAGTATTCATATATTGGTGTCACACACTGAGAAAACTCGAAAGTTCAAATGGCTGTATTTTCGAAACGAAACATGCTACGGGACTGGAAACTTGTACAAAGATATATTTTTTTGTTTATCTTCAACCCATTGTAAATAGGAATACGTAAATTCTCGCTTTATGACTTTACAATTTGATGACGTCACTGTGAAAACCATGTGCACTTGAAATTGATTTTTTAAAATTTCCTTTTCTTATTTTTGTGTTTATTTTTCGTTTTGTTTTGTTTGTTTATTTTCTTTTGGAGCTTACCCCTATTTAAAGCTATCTTTTTCATGTGTTCTTTGCCAAAATCCCAGTGCACCCCCCACCTGAACCCCTGTCCATCAATAAAATTCCTTGTTAACTTGTTTATGACTCAGAACTTCTCCTCATCTTTCACATCTATGGATAACTTTGACGAAAGCTGCCTACTCAATTATACGCGTAGGTAATTTGTGCCAAGTTTATCTTATTTTGCCAAATGAGGAACTTGCTTGCTCTCTAATTAGTTTCCATTGAGAGAAATGGTTATATTATGTGTGAGATAAATTTAATCGTGTAGCAAGTTAAGGTGTCTTCCGTGGAAAACCACTACTCCAATGTGATTTGGTGTAAATCTTTTAAAAGAAATCGCAGAAATTTTGCGATTTGCTAGAAAAGACGTTATACTAAGGAATGATTAGCATAATTAAGTAAAGCCCGCTTAGAATCTCCACATTTTCGTTAATTTCCTAATTATGCAAGGTAATTTAACCGAAACTTAGCAAGGGGCAAAACATCATTAGTCGTACTGCTGATTAATTTACCCCACACGTATTTATACGAAAGTGGAAGTTCCTGTTTTATTCATATAATACTGACAAAACGAAGCTACAGTTCATTAAGCTCGATTTTTAGAACACTCCGTTAGCTGAGACTTAAAGCCTAGTAGATTATATTAGGCTCGGAGATATTTCCATCTCAGTCGTCGACGGAAGATTTGAAAAAGCAATTTATTAAGTTGAACTACGTTTACGCAATTAAACCTGTTGATAATTTGCTAGACTACGCAATGTAAGCCCACGCTAAAGTCTTGACAGGAAGATTGTTTTCGTTTTCGTTTTTTAAATTGGGCAAATAATGAAATTATTTCGTTGAATTGGGAACAAAGTATGTGAAAGAAGTTTTTGTACTTTAATTTAGTTTAATCACCAGAAAAAGTCTACATGGAAATACTGCTCTCTCTCTCTCTCTCTCTCTCTCTCTGCTTCAAATTTCATCAAATCCCCTTAGTCATTTTTAAAACAAGCCATTTGTTCTAAAATAAGGTTTTTAGACGAGTTTTCATATTATTTATTGATGGCAATTGTTTAACCTCTTTTGTGTCCGTGTAAGGTTACAGACAAACGATATAATAAGTAGATGTGGGTGCTTGTTCTAATGCATTCAATTTAAAGACTGATTCAGACAAATGCTAAAACTTCACTTCTCGGCGTATCACGAGAAGATGAAAAAAACAGTAATTCAGAGAAACTACTTCTTCCTTGTATGGATCTTTGTCACGTTTGCAACTAATTCTGAAGGTACATAGACTCTATCTTTTTCCTTTATTGTAGTTTTCCAGTATATTATGACATGAAAAAAGAATCTCATATTTTTCCTCCCTTCTTTTAAAAAGCTTTCAGTCAGGGATCGATTGGCAACTTTTTCTACGTCAACTTCATGATAAGTGAATTTTCCTACCTGAACATCTCCAGTATTGGTCGGAATCTTATTCAAGAAGAAAACGATTGTGGCTACGCCTGTTTAGAAATTCCTTCATGTTTTTCCTACAATGTGGCTGCCTTCCCTGATGTCAACGGCAAACTTCTGTGCGAACTCCTGCCATCGGACAAGTTTAACAACTCGGACAAGTTCAACGCCAGCAAAGAGTTTCATCACTTTTATATTCCGGTAAGTCAAACTTCTAATTAATCAAAAATGTTCCTTCTGGGGAAAATAAAAAGTTTCTTCTTGTTTGTTTGTGTGATTATTTTCTTTTGACTCTCGCTAGTTTCGAAAGTTAGAATTTGTAAATCAAAATGTATCTCTTCGCTTGGAAAATCTTGAATGCAGTGGATTACGTTGTGCTTCAAATGCAAAGGAATTGGCTAATGAGTTTGGATAAAAAAAACCTTATAAAAGTTTTACAACTAAGTTAAACCTTTCAACTCTTAATTTAAACATCTGCTGATGCCCAAACATACTTGATGAAATCGATATATTTATGTTCGAATGTCCTAAACGTTAGTGAGGGGAGAGTTGCTGACAAAGGTCTCGACTGAAATATTTTCCGACAAAAAGCGTTTAGCTCGTAAAACACATTTGTCATATCATGAATTTTGCTTATTACTAGTTTGCATACTTGGCTTGCCTTAAAAGTTACAGAAACGTTTTAATACTCCTATTTTAGGCTAATCTTTTGCCAGCTAGACTATATCAGCACAACGCCTTGAAATTCGGTAGCATCTCTGCAAATTTCTGGGTAAATGAAACAGCGTTGACTTTCAAAACCTCACTAAAAACTCAACTGAGCAAATCCAGCGGGGAGTGCAAGAGATAAAAATGTATATTGCTTGCCGTCCTTAATTATATCGATGTCATTTAAGCATCGACATGTATGTCAAATTCGTTGCTTTTTGAATCCACAAAACAAAGCGAAAGGGAAACAAAAAAATTTAATCCCAACTTTTGTAGGTTTACAGTAAGCTGAATTTAATCCACAGTTCTTCTCGTTGAAGTAGTTATAACATCATATAGTGAAGACAATGAATGTCTATAGTTTTCGTACTGAAAGTTAACTGAGGCCCCGAAACTTTCTCTCTGTCTAGTGCTTTTCTTGTTCTGTTTGGACATTACTATGGCAACACAAAGTACCTAACCTGTTAACCTATGGGAACATTCAACTGAGGGAATTCGTATCCATTAAACGTTCCTGGCAATAAATGAATTTAAACGAGTAAACTGCCTTGTCGAACGATTTTTTTTGTATCGAGTTCTTCGTTCTTTTTCACAAAAGCGAGCCACTTTGATCCTCATGTTTGGCTGATTCAATGGGATATTGCCATAGCAACGCACATTTAAAGATAGGACTGCCACCTGTAACTGATGAACCGTTCGTGTTTTGTTATTATGAAAAAAGCAGCTTTTGTTATTGTGTCGCAAGAAATACATGTTACTAGCGGTAGAAGTGCTACACTATGAAAAAGCAAGCATCAAATTTTCTAAAAAACGGAGACAATAATTAAGGGACTTATCAAAGTCTGCTTTACATTTGTTAGAGCTGCGCAAAATTCCCGTCACTTGATCTCATTTTATTATTTCCAATTTTCTTTTTACCTTTTTTTTCTTCGTCCTTATTTCGAGAAACACCTCGATTTTTGTAGCCTGTTATATAGGCTCCGAGATAGTAGTGCAGCGGGGGCAGGGACAGAGGGGACCATTTTTTTTTTCCACCGCTATCCCCTTTCCTAGATCGCGTGCGTCTTATTTTTAAATAGGTTTGGTCCTTTTATCTTACCGAGACGTCCCTACTCTGAGATCCTACTCAGTATATCCGTAAGTTCAATATGGATGATTGAAAACAAGCTTAAAATTTCGAATTAATTAGGTTTGCACAAAATCTAGTTATTAGTAGATTTCTTGATGAGTTAGTACACAACTTACAATTTGTTACCCCCACTTTTTAAAACAACTTAACCAAATTTTAACAGTATTTAATTTTTTTTTAAGAAAATAAGACAAAAAGTAAGCATGTTCAACAGTTAAGCACTCGTACTTTTTGTTCACTTATTGGCTGCATATCTCCTCCTGATAAAAATGTTAACATTCTTTCATTTAGTACTTCTAAAGAACCTGTGTTTAGCCTCCTTAAAAGCACACTGAAAGTCAGGACGAAAGAATTGTGCCCGAAAAAGGCGTTTTAATTCTTACTGCAAGAAAATGCAATTTAATTGGACAAATAAATTTACAAAGTATATTAGAAATATAAGATGGAATTTCATTAGAATTCATAGAAAAACGCAGAAAAAATGCATTTAAAAGATATCCTGACCAGATAGGAAAGAAGCCAAGCAGTGGCTCTTAATGCCATCGTCAGGCTACTCGCCGATATAATTATATCTGCAGCCTGTTCATCCTACAAAAGCTGTGTCAGAAGAATGCATTGACCAGAAGCAACTAGCTGAGAATACAGGCTGTGAACTCACTCACTGCGGCAATTAACGCAGGCATTAGATATAGCTTCTGTTTTCGTTCAGCAAAACCAGCCGGCGGCTCCCTGAAATAATTTGATGAACAAGCGAGTTAAATTTATATAATTACACCAGCTTACCAGCTGCTCTATTGTGGTAATTGATTACAGTGGAACCCCGCCATACGACCACCCCGTTAATACGACCAGCCCGTTATTGCGACCACTTTTTTGTGGCCCGAACAAAAGCCCACTCATTTTCTTATCTGAAAACCCCGTTAATCCGACCACCCCGTTATTACGACCAAAGACCAGCTTTGGGAGTCCTGAGTCGTTATTTTCTTTATAAAATTACCCCGTTAATACGACCATTCAAAATGCTTGGTGGGGCTGCTGAATGAAAACAGACACAATCTGACAAATAATAACCCATTACTAATATTTTATTGAATGTTTTCAGGCAAAGGTGTTAGTGGTTAGCATGACATCCGGTAAATTGCTGTGTGCAGTAAAAAGGATGCATGAATAAATAATACAAAAGATCTGAGAGACTTCACTTTGCAGCCTTTCCAGGCTCTCAAAGTTATATTGCCTTCTTGTTTCTGCTGCCTTCCACTGAGGCTTTTCTCTTCAAGTCCATTTCCTTTTCTTTTCTCCCAGAACTTTGAACTTTGTAATAATTGTGTTTTAAGCTACAATATAGAAAACGGCTCTTCGAGACAAATCACAAGCCCTTTCCTTTCATAACAAGGAACTGAAAGAAGTCAGTGTTTTTTCTCATTACTCGGTTTCGTTTACTGTTACATTGTTCAGTTGCATTGAATTGCGGTTGTAAGGTTGTTACTTCACTTAAAAAAAGGTTGATTTATAACGGATTAAAGGTATACATGTAGTAGAATGTAGTTTAAAAGCATTTTGTACCATAATTTGACCCTACCCCGCTAATACGACCAAATTTCCATGGCCCGAAAGTGGTCGTATTAACGGGGTTCCACTGTACAAACAAGAATTTGCAAAAAGACACTGACCAGAACCGTACAGTACGTGAATACAATCATTTTGGCTACCATCACATTAAGGCCCTAACATAGTCCAGGGTATAGTTAACTGCAGTTTTACGTCCAAGTCATTGCAGTTGAGATAAATATGATTACAGTAACCTCGTTGTTTTGTCAACTAGACCTCTTTAGCTTGCATGTTTTGTTTTCCAATATAGGTCATGTGAAAATACCCCAAAAAAGTGCTTCTGTCAAATTTTGTCTGATTCATGTGCAAAGGGGGATCAAATTCCCCTAGGACCTTTATTCGGAAAACAAAACATACAAACAAGAGCCACTTGATACAAACTAAAAGAGGTCTTTTAAAAGTGGGTGTCATTTACGTACCTGTAACACCAACAGGGGTTGCTGTTGCAATAACCTTTTCTTATAAGTATTCTGTTTAACCATTATATAGTGGATGAAAAACTGGTAACCCATGATATCACCTGACTCTTGCTTAAAGAACTGTCTTCTGTAGACCGGGAAATAACCAGCTAATAAGCGCGTTTTTTGGCAAAGCTTAAGAAATAGAGCTTGTAGTTCTAACAATAGATCATAAACAGGGCCCAGCTGTTCGAAGGCCGATTAGCACTTAACCCGGGGTTAAATTTAATCCGCGTTTCTTTTTCTTATGTTCAAAAGTATTTTCTAGACATTTTTTTCTGTTATGTTTAGAGCTTCCAATCATCAACATGTAGACAGAAAGAATTAAAACTGAAATGCTTTTTAAGCTTTCAAATCAAATCTCGCACTAACCCTGGGTTTTCTTCACCCAGCTTTGAACAACTCGGCCCAGGAGATTATGCCTTAGAGGAATTCCTCTTGTGGATCTGTGGATCTTGAACGGGCCATAAAATTTGTGTAAAGAATAATGGTTCAGTCAATTCCAAGCGCGCGCATCTACCGGCCCGCCCTTTTAGGCATGGCTCTCGGGAGGTAGTAATGATAACACGAAGATAATTCGCTTTAGAGAAATTATGTTAACAGGAACTAAAAGGGTATATAAACATTGGGTAACCTCTACATTGTCAGCCGTATCAGTCAAAAGTAGCGATTGCAACCGCCGCCAAAAAGTTGGATTTGTACGGGAAAAACAACTCTTGTCATCCAGTCACGGTTGACTGGTTTTCCATAGAAATCCTTGTTTTATTTTCCTGAAATCTTTCACTTTCACATTATAGTACTTATAACTAAAATATTTTTACGACAAAATAATTTCTTGGACTTGTATGGAAAACCACTCAACCGTGATTGGGTGAGAGAGTTGCTTTTCCCACACAAATCCCTCTAATTTTCGGCGGTTATTACAATCGCTACTTTTGAGATATAAGGCTGAAAATGTACAGATTACCTAATCGGTTTAGAATTTTGCTCTCTCCAACGCGAATCATCTTCGTGTCTACGGAAAGTTGACCACGTGACCAACTATTGCAAATGTTCCATTCCACTCTTTTCATTTGTTTCATGAATTACTAATGAGTCATCGACCAATAATAAAAAGTAGTTAAGGCTCTAATGTGACTGCAACCGATAATTAAGTTTGTTTAGAAAAAAAGCCTTTCACTGTCTGCGTGCGAACTGGTCCATCGACCTAGTTAAATAAAAAAATCCAGATAAGACAGTTGGTCATAATTGATGACACCTTTTGGATCATCTTTACCCGCACAGTCAGCACTGAAACAATAGGACGTCAAACGCACAGCTGAAAACTAAGATCGATCAAGGAGGTGGTAGCTCTGTAAAAGCCGAAATTATAATCCTAGTTTCTCTTCCTTTTTTTTAATATTGTTCTTTTTTTCTTTTTAGATTCAGTGGGTGGTTTCTTTACCACTTTCAATTCGTTTATTTTCTCTCTGCTGGATAATGAAGGGCTCGCACCGTTTAAAAGCATGGTTTCAAGACCAGAACGTGCTATTTATTGTTCCTCAAAGCGCGGTCCACAATTTGGTGGTTATCTTGGCATACGCATTGCCGATAATGCCAATCAGAATAATAAATCCCGGGCTATATTAGCAATCTCTTACTCTCCACCAAATGGAGTTACAGACAGTTCAACAATCCTGGCTGGAACCCGTTTCTTTTCACCTGACGAAGTTGAGGTATTTTATCTCGCTTAACTTTTCTGATAACCCTCTAATTACCATGCACAAAAAACGTTCTAAATCAGCCAAAGATACACCCTTAAAAGATCCACTCTGAGATGTATTGCAAAGCATAGAGCGATGACTCAACAGGCTGGCGGTATGCGACGGTCTGCGATCGGAAGCTGTCTGCATCAAACGTATTTAGACGACACCGGACTTCATAGGCAAATATCTCTATTTATTTTAACGATGGTAGACTGGCCATGTTTGTTTCACTCAATTCGGTGTGAAAATGGTCCCAAGCAAAGCTAGGTCTGCAATGTCGACGCAGAATGGTCCTCGCTGGTGTTCCAGATAATATTGAAACCACGCTTAAACGGACTACGACACGCTATTTGTTATCTTTTTTAAAATGTAAAAGTTAAGACGTGTCTTCGTATCAGTTGCATTTCAAAACTAGTGTTCTATTTTTGTTATAACTTAAGACTATATTTAGACACTGAAAATGTTTCCTGTCGTTGGTTGCAACGGATGACAAGGATGGACATGGATTGAAACTTGAAAAAATTGGCCTATTTTTCAAGTTTTAGTGTACTACGCTTGCATAAATCATCAAAAAATTTTTTTGGTTATTGCTCCCTGAGTTTGATAAAAAAATAATTAAGTAAGAAAGTATAAAAGCACTAATCAATTACCTAAGCACAGAATTGACCCAAACAGCTCGTAACCTAGCCCATGGCCATTCCCTAGTTGCCCAAAGCCTCCAAAAGTTTAAAACGATAGTGCAAGGTCTGTTCTCATGCAAATAAAGGTTAACCCATCTTCTGAAAAAAGCTTCCGCGATAGGTTTCATTTTGAGAGTGAGGGTTCTTGGAGCTTGCTCGGTAATGGCCTATATTGCTGCTATGTGATTTGATTTTAACAGCCAGTAAGTTGACGTATCATTAGTTAAATACCGTTGTAATATACAATACAGTGGAACTTCTTTGCAAAGGCCACCTTGGGGACAGAAAAAAGTGGCCAGTGTAGAGAGGGTTAAACAAGAGTGACAAGAGTGAATGTATGGACTGCCAAAAAAAGGCCGTTGTGGAGAGGTGGCCGTTAGTGACGGTTCGACTGAACTGTCACAAGAAGTGCAGAGCTTTCCAACCGTTTAATGTTTGTAAAACAGCTGCGCTTAATTTTTAAGACACTGTACACTACTCCCGCCGCGAGCGGTGTTCCGTAAATTTTAGTGTCAGAACGAAAATAACGTTTACTTTAATAGTTGTATCTATGTCGTTTAAATTATGTTCCCCCTCATTATTCACCAGCGTAATGGTTTGATTATTGTTAAATCCAGTTGAAGTCACCCTACCCTGGTCCCAGAGGTTTTTTATGAACGAGAACGAGTTTGGTGCGAAGCGACTAAAACGAGTCGCAAAGCGGAGGGGAAGAAAAAAACCCATGGTTACCTTTAATTGTACTTGAATCTCACTCCCATGCAAACGACAGGGTCAAATTCAAGAAAACCTCTGGGACCAGCTCAGCTGTATTCATTACATTTATTTATTTGAAGTCTTTATTGAATATTCAAGTAAAAATACATACCTATATTTACATGTTTAATATTATTTATTTAGTTAAAAAGTAAAAGAATATTTAAAATACGGTCTATTAATAAAACTAGCTTTAAACCTTTCCGTGTTAATACAGGGTAGTAGGCTTGTTTGAGTTCTCAGACGCGCGTTTTGAAGATTCTTTAACAACAAATTATACAGCGGATGAGTAGGGAGGCAACTAATCCTCTTGGAGATTGACCTGTCTAATTTTTTGAAGCAAATCGTATATAACTATAGCATAGGATATAAAACGGCGTTTCAACTTCTGGGATATATAGTCACAGTAGATAAGGTCACTATGGCCCTGTTTTTCGAAGGCCGATTATCACCCCCCGGGGTTAGATTTTAATCTGGGTTTCGTTTTCTTTTGTTTAAAGTTTTCTGCTCAGTTAATTTTCTCTATTCTTTTAAAAGCGCCCAGTCATCCGGTTGGAGAAAAATTAACTAGGCTGAATTTGGGTTTTTAAGCTTTCACATCTGTATTCAAAGTTCGCACTAACCCTTGGTCTTCTTAACCCAGCTTTGAACAACCCAGGCCTGGGAACTATTGCTATATAACGTGATTCTTCGAAGCTTTATAAATAAAACATGTTGTTATTTTTTGTTATTTGTTATTTTTTGGGAAAGTAGAGGGGTGTGTATTATCAATTTTATGCGAAATTTGCGTCTACTGTAACTTTTAGTTTGCAAACACGTGACAACGCGGCCATTTTGGTGGTCAGTAGAATAAATATATATATTTTTTGGATAATTCAGATTTGCGACAAAATGGAGGTTAGTTCTTAGAGGACAGAAATGCTTTTGTTCTACCATAATGTCCGCCGTGGCGTCATGTGCAAACCAGCAGTAGGTTTTTTTTTTTTTTTTTTAATGTTGTTAAGGTCAAATAAACCAAAAAATTGAAATATTTTCTTTTGCCGCTTTATCTTCACCAAACGCTAAAAAGAACCATCCTAAGTGAGATTTGGGTAAAGATTTTTCTTCCCAAGCGTTAAAAGAAAGATGAAAGATTAAAATCCGAGCATTCCCGAAGACTTCACGAAAACGTTTCTGAAATGGCCGCGTGAAAGACTGGAGACTACGTGACGTCAATGTTGGTCTTTCAGGGCGGAAAAACGTTCTGCGCAAGCTTCTGCGCATACCTTATCGCCTGCGTTTGTTTGTCTTGTTCTGTGAGAGTTCTGACTGAGACTGAATGAAATACGCAAGGTGCGAACGTTTGCTCCTCGTAAAGGCTTTTTTTTTTGTTTTTGTTGTTGTTGTTGTTTTCTCGTCACTTGAAAATTCCTTTGGAGTCAGAACAACCAATGTTAGAGTAAAAACAGATGATTTCGTCAGTCTGAGAAGGAATAAAACGTTTTGAACATTTCTAAGGAGGTTTGTATTTTTCTGATAATTGTGCATTCGATTTGTGAATTGATTTTGTGTCCAGTGCTTCGCCTTCTTTCGCCGGGCTGAATTAAAACCCGCTTGTATTCTGTTATTTAACAGTTAATGAATGAGGCTGAGTATCTTATGAAGAATTATGGAGATCGAGGAGGCTGTTATCCGTCGAGGCCGTAGAACTAAGGCTAGCAAGCTTATTCGAGAAGAACAGACTACTTCGATCACTTTTCTGTTGCTCAATGAACAATAGTCAGAGTATTTTTTTTCTTTTTAATTTTTAATTACGTAGCTTTGTTTTCTTTCTGTACGCAAATTTTCCTTTTCACTCGCTGTGAAGTAGCTGAGAACGACAACTGCCGCCAGTGGCTTCAAAACAATTGCCTCTTTGCCCGTAAACAATTGCTGGAGCTGGATTTGACTGAAGCGAGCAAAACAAACCCTTATGTGCCGTTTTCTGTACTTTCTAATGATTCAGTTTTGCTGAGTTTAATTTGCTTGAATGAAGACCCTCGTATGGACCAGCTTTTGAAAATAGCTAAATGGTGAATCATGGCTTGGGTGCGAAGCTTGCAACTGATCGTTTGCTTTTAAGACCTTTAGGTGGGTTATTTCGCACAGAAAATTCACTTCTTCATTGTCAGGAGGTATAAAAGCCTTAAGCCTTATGCTTTTTGAGTGGAAATTTGTTGTTTTGCAACCATATTGAAGCTTTTTTGAGTTCACTTAAGCTGAATTTTATGCATGATGGAATTGTTCTTTGCTTACCGCTTCTCTTTGCGAGCTTAAAGTGGCGTCTTTGGTCCTTAAAGTGACTTCAGTCGGTAATTAAATCATATACATAACTGGAGAGAAGTTTTTGCGGCAATGTAACTTCAACTTTGTTTGAAGGAAATCTTACTTGGTTTTTGACAAGTGTTATTCATGTTCAACTTGACAACACAAAGCAAACTTTATCTGCGCGAAACGATCAAGTTTAAAGAACTGTAGTTGCTTTGAAACTGATTTTGGGGAAGATTTTACTAGATAAAGATTAACTCTTTTTCTGCCCACATATCAACGCCAAAACTTCTACATTGAGGATTTTGTTTATATTTTTGTGTTCTGCGAAGCACAAGTGTCCGATCGAGCGTGGGTTTTATAATATCAGCTCGAGTGCGACAAAGTTCAAAGAGACTTTAAACACATTGTGGGCAAGGGTGAATTTCTTTGTGCAAATCACCATACAAAGATATTTTGTTTTTGTGTCCACATTGGAGCTCCGGACCTTATATATCCAGAAACTTCCTTATATGAATACATTTTGTGAATAAATCTTGAAAAAAATCGGACCTATGCACGTACGTACATTTCCAGTGCAGCGCAAGGAAATTAATGCCGTCGTTAAAGTCCGTTTTACTATGATGTATTCTTCGAGAAAATTAAATAATAAGGTTATAACCACAGCTTGCAACTTTTGAAGACAAATTGCTTGTTCTTTTTAGGTTCATAGCCGCACAAACCACCACAATTTCTGCGCCAAGTCGACTCGAAAAACACTGTTTTGAATTTCCCGCTTTTTTTCACCTGACTGACATTAAAGGGGCTATGTCAGCTGGAGAGCATGCGCTCTGAGGTTATGCAAATTACTTTCAACTGTCAAAATTCTATTGTTTTTAACGCGTGACTTTCTCCATGTGCGCTGTGAGGTTATGCAAATTACTTTCAACTGTCAAAATTCTATTGTTTTTAACGCGTGACTTTCTTCATGTTCTCTGTCACGTCCAAGGTTCCGAATTTAGAGAGGTTTAGCGAAATGGGTTTAGATAAGGGATATTTCGATAGAATTTATGGAACGTTTCTTCTCTGGATATGCTAGATCAAGAATAAAATTGCGACGACAATTTTACTTGTAGTTTTGAAGTAAAAACGCATGCCATTCATAAAATAGAGCGCAAACAAAAATTCAACAACAACATATTGTCTTATTCAACAAAATAAATGGAAGTTGTATTTTACAAACGAGCTACAAAAGACGCTAGACCGGAGACAAAGACCAAGACTGTTTCA